CTCATGTTTGAATAATGGCAGAGAAAGGATGGGTCACCAGATTTGTGTGTGTTTTTGCATTCATGTGCTCTCAGCAGTCTTTTTTGCACCTTTCCACATCCATACATTTTTGTGGAGGAACAGACTGGAGTCTGTCCAGTGTATCTGGAGTTGGACATGTGTTGGTGTGTTGAAGCTTCTTGTCACTTACAAACACTCCAACAAATCCATGAGGCAGAAACACTGCAGATAGAGTTCAAAGGGATTCATCCAGCATGTGACAGATACAGAAAATGGATTTCAGCGCCTGTCAAAACAAACAATACTTTTCTGCTTGAGGCTCAGAGAGAGACAGCTGGAGGGGGCTGGAGGTAGATGAAGGATAGTTCTGAGCTACCTCACCTTAAACTTCAGTTGTGCTCTCTACATGTACAGGTGCAAACAGATGATTGGCTGGACAAATATAAACTCATGCTATTAGTTTATAAAACTGTGATTCTAATCTAGTAGGAGTATGTCTGAGGTAGTTGTTGCAGAATCCTAAATCCCACTGAAGCTCCTGGAACAGACCAGGTGGATTCGGACAGGAACAGCCTGTCTTACAAACACAAATGAATGTCATCGCAGTGTCAGGCGGAAAAGTCACAAACAATAAAATCTTAAAAAGTACGGTTTTGGCTTGTCTCTATTGTGCTGCCGAAGTAATGAATGTGTTGCACCTTACTGTGCACGGTGCTGCCATAGACTATGATAACACCAGCACCACAAAATGTTGAAATAAAAATCCTACTTGATTGGTTGTCTGTGCCCTGGACCCTGTCTGCAGGACGCATTGAGTGAGAATATATTTTCAATATCGATCTAAAATCAATCTTTGCTCAAACTGTATTGTACAGTTTGAGAACAGAGACACTATAAAGCAAACTGAGGTCTCAATGGTTGGAGGCCAGAGTACTCCACTCTATTCAAGAATACATTTTAAAAGAGATAAAGACAAGCATACATTCATGCATTCATTCAAAACCATCAGATTCATATTTTTATGGTAACAAATATTGCATTTGGACTTTATGTAAAGATTATTTTGGCTTAAGTTTAATGAGTAAGGCCGTCTGCATGAGCATCTTGGTCAGCCACTGTGTAAATATGTATATCTGAGTTTTCAAATGTTTGCAAAAAGTTGCGTTAAACACAATCCTGAAACCACATTCATCATGTCAGTATTTAATAATAAATCCAATAAAAACAATTTCATAGTGTCTTAGGTAGCATTTTCAGTGACTTTCAACTATTTCAGTCATTTTAGCACTTTTTAAAGTTGTTTGGTTTTTTTCAAGTGTAACAGACACTGAGACAGAAAAGAGAGGGAAAAAGAGAAAAGGCAAAGAGACAGATACTAATATACTAATACTGATAGATTATCTCAGAAAACTGGTAGATTGGATGTAGTTTCAGCTCCTTAAACGACCCTGAGGCTAAACTTTGAACAGAAAGAAACTCCCAGCAGAACCAGACTGAGACAAACACAATGCTGACATGAAATGACTGCAGAAAAATACTGAAGGTTTAAAACGATTATAGTAAATAATAAAAAATTATAATAGTCCAGCTAAGAAGCAACATTTGTACAGGGAGGTTTCCCTGCATCACTCTGAGAGGATATTTATACATAATTTGCATGGTGGAAAGAAGGACGTCATGGGAACCTTTAATACTGGATTTTAACAACATGACAGGTCAAGGCACTGCCAGAAGTTAAATCAGGCTGATAAGGCTTTTCCTTTTTACTTCAGTTAGGATTGTCAAAATAATTTTTATTTGCTAAATTCCTCAGCAATGAGAGAAATCAATTTTTGTACGACATCAGCATATTTTCTTTATACTAATCATGAAGGAATTTTAGCTCCTTCATCATGACAGAACCTGTTCAGTTCTGCCCACAAACTTTTACAGTGCCTGAGGTTTGGGCTTTGTGTTGGATGCTTCTAAAACACTCTGCTGTTTACGTCCGTTGGTACGTAATGTACTGGCATCCTCAGGTCAGTGTCTATGTGCAAGATCCAATAGCGTCCAAGCTTCAACTTCCAGGCTGATGTATCCACCAGCTTTAGGCTTGCCAGCCTCTTATTTTTCCTCCAAATGTACAGATGGTTAAAATACCCAAACACTTTAATTTTAGACTAATTACACCTCAGGAAAATGTCCATAAAAATGTTATTAAATACATTTTAAAATTCTAAAAAAAAAGCTCATTTTCTGTAATGTCAACTGACTCGTTGGTTTGGTATGATTTATTATCAGAGCATCAGAGCATGAGTATTTCAGTACAGTGTGTAAATATCTCATTTCAAACAGAAATGAGTGAAGGACAAAACCTTGTGGAACGCCTCTGTTAACCTGGGTCTGCATGGAAGATTTATTATCAAGATGAACAAACTTGGATCTGTTAGATGTGATTTCAACCAGCTCACTCCTTGTTGAATTCTTTTCAATCTCTTTTTGATTCAACCTGAGACACTAAAATAAATAAAGGATTTTTCCTGCCCTCTGTGTTGTTATCCAGGTGTAGCTGTGACTGACATTTTGTTCTGGTCACTTTCACTCAGACCAACATGGATGCTTGGTCCAGGTCAAGTTCTCTTTTTATTTAGCTATTGTTTTCTAGTTGAGTATTGCTTTATAAAACAGGGATCTGTGTCAAAAGCCAGCCATTACACACCCTAAGTGATCATAAAGAAAGCAATAAGTGTGTGATAATGTGTATAAGCAGACAAAAAAATGGTAGCTTTTAGCTGCCAGACGTGTGTGTATCCAGCCAAGTCACAACTGTATTTGTGTAAAGAGTCTCGCTGGGCAAATTGCAGTTTAAAGAGGACAAGGGCATAGCTGTGATGATGTGTGTGTGGCGGTACACAGTTGTTTGTGCATCTGTGTGCGTCTGTGCTGCTCTTGGGGCTGGAGGCCTGTGATTGATGCTGGCAGGTGTTCGTCCCCTTACACGCTCACTGACATCTCATTCCCATCCGAGTCACTCAAACCGAGGCCTGCGGGAAGCCGCCGATCGCAGGCTGAATGCTAACCAAGACAGACCTGCACGCCTGCTCCACTATCTGATAAGAGCACATGCTGATGTGACAGAGAAGGATCAGAGCTGGCATGTTCTCACCTCAGCTCCTCTGCAGTCACTGGCTAGCGGAGAGCCCAGATAAAGGGAACGAGGCAGGGGGACATGGAGAGGTGGCAGATGATGAAGTCAGCAGGCAGTCGAGCGTAAATTTGGAACAGGAGACAGAGAGTTAAGACAGACGACATCACTGTTGAGAAAATGCAGAGCTGAAAAAAAATCCACATTTTCCAAGACAAACCGTTTATAAAAACACCTGCTAACAACTTCTATGCTTTCCCACTTCTTTCCACTGACTGTTGACAATTAATGGTCCATAATATTTAATATTCAAAAGTAAACCAGAAAGTGTTCTTCCACTTCATGATTCACAAGAACAAGTTCCGAGTTCAGTTTGGATATGTTAAATGAAGAATTCTTTGATTTGTGTTCACTGCCTAACCTCTACAAAGGTCACAGCTCCAACATGCAGAAAGAGAAAATGGATTAAAATAAAAAGAGTTTGCACATGAAGCTTCTGCTGCAAAATGACTTGGAGCGTCAGTCAGTCACTCTCGGAGAGAAGCCACTATGGAAATAAGTGTTGACTAAGGTTTGTGTCTAAAGTAGGAGAAACTGGAAAAACTGACATTTATCTAATACAAAGAAGACTAGTAAGATGAATTAACTGTTGAAACTTAAAGGGGACATATAATGCAAAATCTTGTTCTTTAGCCCTTAAATACATTTTCTTGAGTTAAAAATATATTTAAGTGTGTAAATCCTATAATATTGATTGTGATACTAATTACAAACAGTTTTACAGAATTGGGTTGAACATTTGTATTGTGTTCAACAACCAGTGGCACTCCCATAACTTCACTGTTTGGGACTGAACTCTGTCCCCACAGAGCTCAGTTCATCACAAACTACCTGTGGAGTTTGAGAGTCAAGCCTGCAGTCCTGACCTCAACATGTGGATCAGCTTGGGTGCATTTTCTGTTTATGCCTGAAAGTATCATTAAAGCAACTGCAGGTCGGCCTGAAATAAATGCTGGCTGAGAAATGTGATGCCACCAGTTAAACCATAAACAGTTGTGATGAAGGGACAGACCACTGAGGCTCCTGTCCAAGGAATAACAAGCTACACTTCAAACCTCAATTATTCTGTCCAGGAGCAGAAAATATTTTTGACATTGGCTTAGATGATTTGGCAAGTTCTTTAAATTGGGAAAACCTTCAATCTCCACTATAACACACAATCAAATTTATTGAATGTGGCTGTAATAAATAAATAAATAAATAAATAAATAAATAAATAAATAAATAAATAAATAAATAAATAAATAAATAAAAGAGTACACTCAGTTTACAGTCACTAGGTAGGAGCTATAAGAGTTTAGAGGACAAGCTTGCAGACAAACTTCAGAAATATAAAACCAGAGTAAGATGTATAGATGGGAACTGAGAAGATGGCAAGCTTCCCTAACAATAACAGCACAGCCAACCAGCTGCCTGAGCCTGTGTTCTACGGAGAATCCAGATGGAGATTTGAGTTTTGCCACAAATTAGCTTCAATTATTCAGCAAGGAAGTCATGAAACACACCAGAAATTCCATCTCTGGATAGCACACAAAGCCTGGTCAAACTCTGACGAGCTCAAATTGACCGTTTATATTTGATAACCCTTCAATGTGGCTGAATAACAGAGTTCTGCTGCTGATAGATTAATAATTGAAACCACCTTTGGAAAAATGCTCGTTAGATTTACTCTGTTAATGTTTTAGAAACATGCAAGGGAGATTATCTATCTAATTTGACTGCCAACATGAAATTTGTAAGCGGTGACTGTTGATTTAAATTGTTTCTGATTGTACTACCACTTTCCCTCACAGTTTTCTTCTTGCCCCTGCTTGCTCTTGGAAACGTTCTCTCACACCGTCATTTGGGATGCTCACACCATTTGATGGATGGACACAATGGTTCATCTATAGGAGTGTTAATAGGACCAAAAGCCGTATAATTGCACACCAATTAACACTGACAGAATGACTAATGTTAGCTGCTCCCATTTGTGTCCTCTTCCCCTCCGCCTCCATCACTCTTTTCTCTACCTTTTAGACAAGTTTCCTTTAACATCCTCTCCCTGAGCTCCCCCCAGCCGGCTGCGTGTGAATCCATCTATCCTGACCTCGTCCTCTACCTCACCCAGGTAGAGCCATGAGGGCAAAGCTGCTGAAATAGCTGTCTGTCTTTTTGAAGATTTTCACTCTATTCATGCATTTTTACTGCCTCCACTCTTGGCTTGCTGATTATACTGTTTTCTTGTTTAATATGCTGATGCTAGTCATATGCATAACACGGGTTTGTCTCAAATAACTACTGAGCAGGCAAGCTACAGTGTGGGAGTTCCTGCTGATAAAAAATGGAAGCTTTTTAAAGCCCAGGATTAGAAAGGTGTGAAAGAGAAACATTCAGCAGAAATGCAAGGGTCTGATATGAGGCATGTAACTATATCAAAGGGATTACAGGGCTTTTGTTTCACACCAGGATTTTTACAAATATAACAAAAATCACATCCAACATGTAGTCCTGTCAAACCATCAGGACACTTTAGTTAGGATCCTGGGTTGTTTAGTAGTTTTAGACTTTGATTTATTTATTCTAGACTGATTATTCTGTGTTCCTTCTTATCTTTCTTTGATTAGATAAGTCTTGTTTCTGTTTTACTTTAGTTCAATCCTTCTTAGTGCTTGTACTTATGTTTACTTCTTGTTTCTAGTTATTCTTAGTTACTCTAGTTTTATTATGTTTCTTAAATGCAGTTATTCTTTAGTGTTAGATTTACATCCTGTTCCCCTGTGCCACCCTCTCTCTCCCACCCCTCAGTCTGTCGCCTGCTCTCCACTCACACCTGCAAACAGTTAACTCAGCCTAGGTTTTTGTCTCAGCATACAACCTCCTAGTATTTAAAAACCTTATACTCAGTCACTCCTTGCTGGTTTCTCTCATCTATTCTCATGTTATTCTTCTTGTCTGTAAAGGTGCTTGTTTTAATTTCTTTGTTTCATTCTCTTCCTCCCAGAGTTTACATTTGATCTATCTGAATTCAAATTCATTTATTCATTTATTCAACAGAACTTTCCTATTTAAACAAGAAGCACCTCCTTGGTGCTGAGGTATTAAAGGGCCAGGCATGCAAAAAGTCCCAGGATAAACTCAGGTATACAGCCGTTTTACAACTTATTCACATTTGGCTGATTGTGTGGAAATGATCTAAACTGGTAGTTCAGTTTATTTCATCTTTAAATTGATTTGCTTTTGGTTTTACTTGGTGCAAATTTTAGACCAAAAAACAAATCGTGGCCAAAAGTACAAGGAGGAACGGGAATGAGTGAAAAAGGAAGTACAGCAAGTTGACATGTGGACATCTGTGAACATGGAGGCTTACTTGACTCTTATCTGTCACTACATTAATGAGAATTTGCAGTTGTGTACATCTGGGTTGAGAGTGCAATACTTCCTACAAAGTTAAACTGCTGACAATTTGGCCCAAGTCAAAATGGCCCAAGTCCTCCATGATGGAGGACTGGACAATAAGCTATAAACGTTAAGTGTCTTGTGAGCGTACTCTCTTTCAGGTTTGGACAGATTGAACACGAGTTTGAGGGGAGTGGACCACCAGGGAGGAGCTTGAAGGCTCAGTCAGAGTCTGTGGTGGTAGAGATGAAACTCAAGATTTGCTGAACATTCTTTGCAAGTCATGAGTTTCTGAATATTGTTGATGTTAATTCAGCATTCAGAAAGTACCTTTGGAAGAGCTGAAGAACTGACCTTTTCAGGTTATGGAGGCCGTAAGGGGGAGCCGACTGGAGACGGGAAACGAGAGCCCCACGACATTCTCTCTCCAATTTATGTGAGGATTATTGAGAGGCAACCAAAAGAAGCTGAGGACAACTGGAGTCTGGGAGGAGGGAAGCACAAAAAAAAAAAAAAAAAAGGTGAGCAACTCCCAGTGATTATCTGATACCAACAGGTTTGGTTTTGTGTGCAATCCTGGGTAATAGGTTGACATCAAGGGCTGACACCTGAAATGTTGGAAGAGGAACGACAGGTATCTGAAGTTGTTAAACCAAGTTTTCATTGAGGATGTTCTGCTCACACTCTGAGTCAACCAGTGCATAGATCTGAAAATGGTTCTGGTTAACAAGAGAACAAGAAAACAGTCAGGAATCAAATTTCTTAACCGCTCACAGTCTACCAGTGGCCCTGACCAGCAGCACCAAAATGACTCAGCTGGTCACAGTACAGGCTCCTGTCTTCTCCTGTCTGCATGCAGCGCTGCTTTTCTTCAGGCGACTCACTGGCTTGGCTGAGTTGCACAGGTTCCTCTGTAGACTGACTGGAGGGAGCAGGGTTAGAAACAGACTGTACAAGAGGAAAACTGGTTGAGTGATGGAGCAAGTTTGTTTTTTAAAGTTTCCTCTGCTGCATTGTTAAAACTACAGAAAGCGCAGAAAATTGAAGTCATCATTAATAACTTCTTCTGTTCTCTGATTGGCCTGGTAGAAAATTGACTGGAGAGAATCCAAGTGAAGAGGAGCGAGCCCAGACTCTGCTGGAAGCCAGGATGTTTTCCCCAAGTAGAATTAAACAAGAAAGCAGTTGCCAGGCTACACTAAGACTACATCATTAAAAGCTTTTACTCCATTCTGTGTTTAAGTTTGAAAACCAGGTTGGAAAACCTGTAAGCCTCTCCCAGAAAAATCCACTGACCATATCATTTTAAAGTATAGAGTGAAAATGTGCAAGATAATTACTGCATTATGATTAAGAACAAAAGCAACAGTCTACTGCCACTTTCTCAATATTTTTGACCCGCATTTTAAATTCACTCAAAGAAATACGATCAGGACTTTTAACCCTTGTATGTAGAAATGGGGTCCAGCTGACCCCACACACGTAAAACTTGTATCGTTTGCCATAGTCCTCTACGTTTGCCTCAGTCCTCACACACACAAGGGTTAAGTTTGTTTTTGAGATGATTCCAGGCTGATGGTGTGGAAAATGATTCTGTATGGACTGAGAGAACATGGAGCATGATGACATCCTGGGATCAGAGGTTGTGACTGGTGTGTTTGTGTCCTCTATAGGAAGATAAATATGAGGACAACAAGTACCATGATGCTCCTTTGCCACCTCACAAGTGAATGGAACTTGTAAGATTGCGAGCGTCAACGATAACGCTGTTCCTGGTCTTCAGATTCCTCCTACCCTCTGTCTGTTTGCAGATTTTATCAGGACTTTCTCCTCTCAGCTCCTCGGGCCGTCTTCCTGGAAACGCCGACATGAATTTCCCATTGCTCACTCCTCTGCCTGTCCGCCCTCCAGTGTCCATCACTCCACCACTCCACCCTGGAAATAGACCACCCATCCCACTCACCGGTCCCCTGCTGACCTCAGCTTCTGTGAATATGCTCACCGCCACCATCTCCTCTCTGTCAGCAAGAACTTTCTTCTCTAAAAAGAATTAAATATTCCCACAGTCCTCAGAAACATTTCTGTTCATTTCTTTGTAGTCCAAAAGTAACATGTTTTTTTTAAATCATGGTAAAATACAACTTCACAGTTCTTGCATCAGATGGTAAATATTGCAAATAAATGGCCTCATTAACAGCAGCTCTCCACTTTGTGTGATCAAGTTCAGATAAAGGACAGTTCATAATAAAAACCATGTCCTGGGCTCACACTATGTTTAGCTCTCAGCCTCACAGTGAGGCTGAAGTCTTTCTGAATGTTCCCTCTGCTCACCATGCAGACAGGTGTGTGTGCAACAGCAAAGCAAACCCTTCTGACCTGCCCACAGGCGTTACTTCAGCCTCTGACAGGTGAACCTTCACTTTAGCACGTCACATCAGAATTAACAAAGCTATTAGAGCATACAGAGGTTTGTCTTTCATGAAGGGTAATGTGTTCCACCATTAGTGACACGTTATTCGCTGAAGGAGAAACCGGGGGGTTCCTGGCCCCTCTCTGCAGGAGAAGAGCTGCAGATCCGCCTGCCAGGGTTTCACTTTCCATGCAAGGACACAACAGACTTTCAGCAGTCAAACTGCTATGATCTGCAAAAATCTGTTTTTAGTCTTTATCTTTATAACAAATGCAGTCAAATAAGATCAAGACAGACTGAAATCACACAAGTAGGACTGCCTATGTACCGTCTTTAAAAAAAAATCTTCCAGAGTAAATTTCAGCAACAAGGCAGTTCTAAATACTTTAAACACAAGATCTTCTTAAATATTTAAATATATGACATTAGAGATGCAGTGAAAAAACTGACTGGAAGCTGATTACTAGAAGCTGGTTGTGCCATGATGTTGGGTGGGTGAGATGGATCCAAATGCAAACAGTCAGAGGCAGATCGTAGGTGAAGAATGTTTAATGAAAACTGATGAAACAAAAGTGCAAAAACAAACAAACAAAAAAAAACAAACAAAAACTGCCTGAGTTGCACAAAAGAGGAATCCACAACAGAAAGCCAGCAGGATAAAAATATCCATAATGGGATTTAATGGGAAGAATAAGAGAGAGGTGAATAAATACTGGGAGTGTGAAGTTTGAAACAATAGACTAGACTAATTGAATAACAGGTTTCAGGTGTGAGGGGAGAGAAAGAAATTGCACAGGGGCAAGAGAGAGAGCACACAACAGGAGAACGAGGAAAATGAATCTAAAAGAAACTTAAAACCAGACACAAGGAATACATACACATACTAAAGTAGAATCACTGAGAAACGACTGGACTAAAGTGAATTAGAAACTAGATTCATTTAAACAAAATAAGGAATACAATAATAATGGAACTAGAATGAAATAACCAAATTGCGAGGAAATATTGGCCCAATTGTAGTGAAATCCCCCCGATCGTTGGACAGCACCGTGTGTAAAGCGTTCTGGTCAACACACTCGCCTCCTCAAAGTTTATATTCTCACATGTCTGTCTTCCCGATAGACATTTTCAGGTCACAGTGGTGGTATGTCTGCTAATGCATCTGAAGTTCATATATGTTTCGCATTCACCTGAATAATGTGCAGTTGCGCCACTGAATGGATGGATGGATCTTTGAGTCACTTCACCATAATGCTTGGCGTCACATTATTCTCCACCTTGTAGG